GTTCAACACCTGTTCCGCTGCCGCAACGCAGTCAGGTGGTGGTGGTACTCTTCTACTACACATAAATACGACGACTTATTAGCAGAAAAATAATACAAGTTTACATCTGAAGCAATAACCTGTATGGAGTTAAGAAAGGTGCTTGAGGACCTGCTCATCTTTTCTAGAGAGCTAGTAATTCAATACTCTATAATGTATTATTTAAATTGCTCACGCTAACGGTGCTTTGGTCGGTGTAGAGATAGAGGCGCGGCCCCACATCAGTCTCCTTAACTCTTCGCCGGTGATTCCACGTTTTCTCAACTCTGCGATCGTGACTTTTCCAACGCGCTAAAACAAAGAAAGAATATCATAATCAAGTTATTCAGAAAAAAAAGTAAAATAGGTGCCCGTACAATATGAAACACCCGTATAATAAATTATCTATGATGTTTAAGAATTGATATTCACCTTCCAATTAGCAAGAGCTCCCTTCCGTTGCTTAGCGCGGGTTTTTGCTTTACTCTTGATGACCATAACAGCGCGCTGCTCGTAGCGCGGGTCGTCTGACGGGCCCAGCCCTATAGAGTACTCCTGCAGATAACGGTGAGCATCCTCTTGCGCCACTGATTGTTCTAGAGCCACCACGATTTTTGCCCACTTGGAATATACAAATTTTAATTAGTTAAATAGCAGTCTGGACGATAGAAAAGGGTGGTGCCAGATAAAGATTATGGATCTACGTTTAGGGTAGTTTTTAATTATGGATCTAACTAAATTAAACTAAATCTAAATTTCGTAGATCTATAAACCGTGCTCACCTGTTTGACCCATTCCTTCTCTGATTGTTCGATGACGTGCGCATATGTGTTGCCCATCATTGCGATGAGCATGTTGAGCAGCAGGATGGGTACGAACACCATAAACAGCGCGAATACCGCCTTCGCCAAGTTCGGATATATCGTCATACCCAGATCTGTGTACTGGAAGTTTGAAAGATATCAAGCACGCTCTTGGGATATTAATGACAAGTAAAGGAGGACATAAATTTATATTTACTAAGACTACACAAAACTTAGTTAACTTACACTATAATCACCTAGAGTTATTTGAAACAGCGCCATCCATGTGCTTGGAAAACTGGAGAATAAAGTTGACTGGACATTCGGGAAACCTGGACCACAATAATTTGATCGCAATGGGTATTAATTTAAATCAGCCCCATGCAGTTTGGCCTACAAGCAAAATACAAGCCAGCAACTACGCACTCGTTGAGTGGGGCAAAAAGGCCATAACTAAAATAGATGCTTACCTTTATAAAGAAAGTAGAAAGACTGTGAAAAGCCGAAGAGAACAATGCTGTAGATAATGCCGAACGTAAACATGTCTCCAGTTATCATGCTGTAGATCATTGTCACGAATGGACCAGTCAGCTTCACCGCACTATGAAACATGTTACAAAAGTTAGCAAGCTCCATGCTACGATTTTCGTAAGCCTGTGTCACTGAAAGTGTTAACTCTCACCCCGCAAAGAACATAAGTAAGAACCAGGAGCCGGGCAAGACGAATATGAGTATAGCCTCTTCTACCATCATCTGACGCGAGAGTCGCGCCGGTATGCACGCTAGGAGTAACAAATTGGACGCCAGAAATATAAACTTGGCAGGCTCGTGAATCTAAAGTATATACAGTTTATTAAAAAAAGATGATAATTTTCAAAAGTTACTATCGTTTTCGTCCACTTTACTTACCAATTGTTTGAAATAGGCGACCAAACCCTGGTTCTTTATTTCATCACCTTGTTGTAGAATTATATAGGAAAGTGTACTCAGTATGGTTCCCAGTTCGCTGGCCAGTCGTATTCCGCCTCTTGCGTCAGTCACCTCCAAACCCCAGTTAGGGTTAGAGTCTGCCTCAATACTGCTGTGTCTTAAGTACACAGACACAGAAAGAAGTAGAAGATGCAGCATGAAGATCATTAGACGCTTGAGGAACTTTTGCTAGAAGATGTTTTCGAATATTAAAATCCTTTAAAAGTCTATATTATTGCTGACTGACATATTTCACTTACTCTAGCGAATGTCTTCCATTTCTCTTCAAGTAGTCTTTGAATTATTCCACCATCCAACATGTTCAAATGCTCTTGTTTTGTTCCATTCAATATTATAAATAACGCAGAATTCCAATCTGGAAAAAGCAAGGTTTATAATTAAATCTTAGGCTGTAATAAAGATTTAATAAAGAAAATGACATATAATTTCACTTACTGGTCTTTCCATCTGGTAGTAATGTGTCTAATGCATTAAGGGGGTAAGCAGAGCATGTAATGTTTGAGTATCTCCAGAACTCCCTAGCGGATAGTTCTAACATCTCTCGGAAGACGGAAGCACGACCCAGCTGACATGCCAGCGTTAGCGGCGTGAAGCCAGCATGGTTGACGCGGCCGTTACTAGCCGGTACTTTTGGGTGTCGCAACGCATATCCGAACATATCCTGTAATGGAGATAGGCCTCGCTACTTTTGCCTAAATGCTTTTGCTGAACAGTTCATTATCATATTCCTCTCACTTCTTACCAGTTTATCACAAACAACAACCATATGAAGGATCATGTTTCCAAAGGAGTCCTGTGAGTCAGGATCAGCTCCCGAGTCTAGAAGTAAATTGTAGACAGCCTCATTGGCGCAGCAGGCAGCCCACGCTAGGGGGTACTCCCCGAGGTAAGCTAGGCCTTCGTAATTAGAATGACGGGTGGGAGGCACGCGTTGTTGATCACGTGGTAAGAAGAAGCTACCTAGAAAGTATAACATTTTTAGTGTTAAATTCGTATAAAAGCAAACGCGATTTAACACTCTCAATGTCACTACCGATAGCTCGTTGACTGACATCAGCACCAGCCTCCACCAAATCTTGGACGAGTTCATTGTTGCTGTATGCTATTGCTAAATGTAAAGCGCTGGCACCTGAAAAATACACTCAAAAATATTTATATTCAGACTATGTATTAAGACACCTAAGAACACTTAGGTTTGTCATTTTAATATCATATTTAGATACGATATTTACCCAAATACTCTTCACCCTCTACGACATCTAACGACAATTTCGGAAAACATTTGACTAGAGTCCTTGCTAGCCGCGTATGGGTCTGAAATCATTATGCATTGCTTACTTCTTCAATATTGTAAAAACCATCTAACCGAATAACTGGCTTAAGTCCTATGTGACACAGACCTTTGTATCACAGATAATCAACAAATGCAGTAGAGATTCTCCGAGGGCACCGCGGTAGCTCATCTGCCAGCAAGCCATATGGTCTTCCCACTTAGCGAGTGGATCGTACGGAGATAGCGACGCTTCTATTGGTAATACTACCTACAAAAATATACACACATTACAATCACTGATCTATTGAAACAGAAAGGACACTAGGTACTAAGATCAGCTACAACTAATATGTTTCTTGCTGTCATTCTCAGAACTCAGAACGTTATTCAAATCGTCATGAATAGAGACTATCAAATGACTAAGTGCTGCATTAATTAATTTACTCCCTCCAAAGACAGTTTATTACATACATAAAGATTTATTTATAAAAGTTGTTACAAAACTAGTAAAAACAAAATAGAGGTCGAGCGCCTGGTTCCCAAACTAGGCTCTAGGCCGGTCTTGTTCGTGCCAGGGTTCTTCTGTCAATTTAGATAGATTACTGTGTCTCTGAATATCAGTAACCCACCTGTTCCTGATCCCTGAACTTCCAGCGTAAGTACTCAGCACGGTTTATCACCCGGCCTCGACCACCTGTATACATGTACGAGGAGAATTCCTCGCGTATCAACCTCTCCGCTGCTATCATACCACCCTTGGTGTACGTTTCCAGCAGTAGACCACCTATAAACATAGTGTTTGAACATTCCTACCAATTTTTAATGCGTATTACTGTATTTTTCCATATCTAAAATGTCCTAGCTTTATTGGAAGGGACTCTAATATTAACCCTTTATGTTCTTCTTAATGTTGACTTACCTTTCTTGTAATCGGCAAGCTTATAAAGAACAGTGTGTTCTTCTGTACTAGGTTGAGATATAACTCGGTCGAGCACCGAGCCCATTGCTTGGACATCTCCCGGCGAAAACAGCTTGATTAATGCTGTACCCATTTTGCTAGAACAAAATACGTATTCAATTCTATTATTGCTATTCAAGAAAAAGTAAGTATCTACTCGAAAAGTAATGCAATTCTGATACAGATTCTTACTTACATATTTATTACGCCTTAATTGTTCCTTTTAGACATCATTAATACAACAAAAACTAATTTTGAATGCAATTTAAACAAAGGTTCTTGAAAAAAAGACATGATGCAATAAAAATTGAATGAAATCCTCCTCATTTCTTATGATTAAACCACCTTTTAGCAATAATTTAGAATCATTAAATTGTAGTTTTGCTTGAGCTAATTTTAATAAAACAAAAGATGTATGCAATAGGTTTTAATTCTAAACCACCAAGTTGCTAAGCTAATAAACAAGTAAATGGTAACCATGGTAACGATTTCAGTTATTTAGAGGGACATTTATAAACATGTTATCTTTTAATTAAAATATTTATCGGCGCCTAAAACATTGTCGTAGCAAATATTCATAATCAATTGAGTTCGTCACAAACCGGACGTTGGATGTTGGTTGATACCTAGGAGAACATCGATACTTTTGCCTTAATGTTATATTTAGTGCTTCACAAAATAGAATCTTAATACCACAGCTTAAACATTTTTTATGTGCACTTTAGCTTTTTCAACAGAGGTCAATTCTGTTAGTAAGGGTCCGTGGAATGTGAGACGCCACGATCAAATCTTTTTGGCTGACTGAGATGGCTATATAAAATAAATGAGATAGACTATGTTCTCGCTGTCATTTTGCTTCGATAGCGTTTTTATCCCTCTTCAACAGCTGACAATGTCAAATTGAAGGAGACCATTTTGTGTTGATCGTTTGTTTGTGTTGCGCCGATTTTGAGACGTTGTGTGCTTATATTTGGATTACAAATAATTTTCATTGCTTCACATTTGTTTGTTTTACGATATTGGTTCATATGGAGTGATTAAAGTGATTACAAAAGGTAAATCCATGTGAACAAATATAACCACGCTCTGCGAAGCAGTGTGACGCGCATGCGCGGTTTGTGCTTGTCAGTGTCAATGTCATCATAAGGTACATATGAAAGAGAAATAAAACGTCCCTTCCATTTTTAATGAAGCAAGATTATAATTCTACAACATAAATATAACTTACCTATTATTTTGTATTTTAGCCAAAAATTTAGATATTTAATTAATTTTAATATGTATTTAATGTATGGTTTGAAACGTATAACTTTTTAAAAGTGTCCGACCGAAACTGGTTTTTCAGCCGGAACCGAAACCGAACATTCGGCCTATGTCTTTGTTTCGGCCGAAATCGAAACATCGGAAAAAACATTTGAAATTATGTACTGAAGTTTAATACATTATTAATGCAATTTTCATAGATAGGGTTTTTAATCGACGGAATAAAATTCAAGAACACTAGTTTTGGCGGGACCAAATGTTCCGATTACAATTTGGCCGAAACCGAAACTTTTGGCCGAACACTAGACTTTTGGCCGAAACTGTCCCGAAACCGAAACCGATAGTTTGACGGTCTTTACTTTTAAATGTATTTATGTTAGAACAGAAAACAACGTTTTATACTAGGTTTTATTTATAACTACTCGTCAATGTTAATTACCTCCTTCTGATTACTCCAGATATTTAATATTTAGCTAAGTAAATCAAATTAAATAAAAGTTGCCATTTTTAAATTGTTACCGATGGGCGTAAATTTGCCGTAACAGGACAGGAAAATAGATCAAATGGCGATTCTGGAGAAATTCAAAAAGCAGATTGTGCAAGACCTTGCTCGACACATGATCGAGGAAAATGAACCTAGAGATCAAATGTGGAGTCGATTAAAAGATGAGTATGGTTTGGACTGCAAATTATTGTGGTAAGTTTGTATACAGGTTGATAAGGTTGATGCTGTCTTATTACTTGCATGACATTAGTTCATGAGACATTTTATAACTACCGTCATTTATTAAGTATCGATGTTGTGTGAATAAAAATACTTGTACCAGACATACAAGTAATTTTCATTTGTAAATGCATGAATATACCGATGGAGGTAGTGTCCTATTTAATTTACTTGTAAGGCGAAACTAAAATGCTTGATATCATCACTTACTTTCTTGCTAGTTAATGCGTTTAGCACAGTATGGATTATTCCCAACCGTCACGCTGCTCTGTCCCTAGTTGGGAACAGATGAGTATAAAAAGTTTCATCCTTCCCACCTTTTGCGACGAACTGACGGTTGGAACTTATTTTGTTTCACAACGTTTCCATCTGTCACCTTATTGGTGATAGTGGGACTAAAAGGTGGAACGGATGAAACTTTAAATACTCATTTGGGGACAAGGCGGGGTGACGGTTGGGAATAATCCCACAGTATGTGCTCCATTTTATACATCTCTATCAACAGTAATATCTGAATTCACTTCCTTCTTAAGGATCCTCATTCTCACAATCTATCTATATTTGCTTCAGCCTTCCTCTACTTTTGTAGACTTAGATTTTAGGAAAGCACTTAACGACATAAAAAATCTAAAGACGTAATTATTAGATAAAAAAAAAGAAATCGTAAATGATTGTGACCATTTAGTAAAATGTAGAGGTGATTTTAGGGAACGCATCGGAACGTTGACTAAGAAGAAATTGTCCAAATTGCTGGACGCCGAGGACCGAACAGAGTTGATACCTGATGTAGCTCAAATGACACAAAACGATTGGCTTGTTTTTGACAAAGTACTCGTTCATGAAAATGTCGACGTTATCGGAAAGGTATTAAAAAATCATTTAAGTCCTTGATACGCTAAAAATTAATCTCGTAATGTAATTTCTGTTAACAAAGCCACAACTTATTAAGATGAAATTTACTGTCCAAAATATGCACAAAAATATATGCCTTACTCCTTGCAGCCTTCAATACTAAATGGACATCCTGAGTCTAAAGTCCTTTGGGAATTGTATATTCTTGTAAGTAGTTATAATATTGAGAATCTGCCACCCGAAGAAGTCGCTAAAGGGTGGCATAATTTAACAAAGGTTTACAACACCAGGTTAGTATAATGAACCCTGAAGTTATATGATTTCAACCTAATAGTCATCTTAAACCGATTTTAAACCTATGTTAGGACGAATGAAAATAATAATTTGTATTTGCTATTTAAGAAATATATTTCAGTGGTCGATATTGCTCCGCCATGTTACTACAGCTTCGTTGGTACCAATTGAAAGAGTTGGTTAGAACAAACTTCCACAATTTTTGGTCGATATATCAAGGAAAAAGTAATTTTATGGATCAAGTTCCCAGGGCATCAAAATTACAAAAATTAATAGCTAGTAGGTATGTAAGCTGGTTTTAGAGTGTTACCTTTATTTTGCAGAAAAGATTTCTATATGATGTATGAGGCTATAACATCAAACATACCGCCACAAGTAGAACCTTTCTGTGAATTTTGTAATAGGAATATCATAGCTCTGCGCTATTTTTTAATTTTTATATGATACTAGCTGTTCCCGTACGACTTTATCCGCATGAAATTATAAAAAAATTATTTTATTGTTTATATTTGCCAAATTATCAATTACAAATGTCAAAATGACATGATATGATGACAACCTTGCTTCCTTGATGTTGGCAGCAACTTATGGTCTCTTTCCCACATTAGGATTTTTATCCAAAATATTTACTCTCTAAGTTTAACGGCGTTAAAATATATAACCTCAAGCGTGACGCAAGTGTATGGCTTTTTATTAAAGAAAGAATTATTCAAAAATATGGTGTAATTGCTGACATCTTAGGCAAGAAAGAAGTGTGTGTTTACGCTTTATAATAATAGTATAGATGATTTTGTTTTAGATACGGTAACATCCTAACCGGTCCATTCATACCTTGGAAGTGCTTAATAAAGATAAATATGGTTGTTAAAGACAGTGATCTTGTAAGTTTCTGGTGTATGTTTTGTACAAAGTAAATTAATTTTACTCGATTGATGAAATAAATTTAATAACTATATTTACAGGAAACCTGCAGACAGTTGGATCAATCTGAAACTTCCAGTAAGTAGATAAAACTTTAGTCTACGTAACCAGATAAGTTCGTTGTAATTCTTTCTTTTCATAATTTGCTTTTGCCCGCGACTCTGTCTGTGGGAAATTAAAAAAATAAAATAAAACATAGCCAAAGAATTTTTGAAATCGGCCCAGTAGTTTTTCAATTATTTCATTACAAACAAACAAAGTTTTTCTCTTTATAATATTAGTATGATATATTGCAGATGATGATGTAGAAATTATTGAAATAAAACCATCAATTGAGACCATAGACCTTAATACAGATTCTGAAAGTGAAGATGGATTAGAAAAAGAAACTACCAAGCAAAGTATAAGTGGTATCAACGATATCGATTTGTTAGAGCCAGAAAATACTTATATCAGTGATCTGAATTATCAAGAAGATAAAGATACTTTGACACCAACCATTTTCCCTAAAATCGTTAACGTAAAGGGAAAATTTGACATTGAAAATTCTGAATTATTAGTGTCTACGACTGAACAGCATCAAGATCTAATCCGAAAAGTAATAAAAACCCTTGAAATGGAAAGAACAGTAGAAAACATTAAATTTACTGATGAACAACTTCTACAGTGCAAAGATCTAGAAACTGTCAATCAATGTGGTCAAGTAAATACAGAAAATGGTAAGTCATATCGTTTTGTCTCTTATATACACTTATTTGCATTTTATATGTGGTATTTGTTGTTAATTATAACTACAGTATTACCAAAAAAACTATAAAGTCCTTTAATCTTTTCCTTTTTTTAGAAGACAAGATCACCGTTGTAAAACTCGAGAACAATTGCGAGGAAGAAAATTATTCTTCCCAAACTATAGATCCTAAACTATTACTGTTTCCAATATCATATACAAAGAAGTTGGATCATATGAGTATGTTTAAAAATACGAATTATTTCAAAATTAAAGGCAACAACCTCATAAAATGTATCGAAGCTGAGAGTAAACCAATGATATTGAAATATGACTATTCAAAATATGAAATTCCACAAATCAATTCTTCGAGAGAAATGCGACAAAAACAAAAAAAGCGAACGTATAGTTCTAAACAGTTGCGAAGAAATCCTGATTTTTTTGTAGAACTAAAAAATATACCCGTAAATTTCTTCTTAAGTGAACGAAATAGGCGATTGCTGAATTATTGTAAACCTGTGACTGTAGATATAGATAGATTGATTGAAACAAAACGTACAAACAATCCTAATTTAGAAGATTTAAGTAACAGAGTTAAACAAACAAAGGAAAGTTACGAGTTTAAAAACTCAGATTATATTCTCGGTAAAAGTATAGAGGACATTAACGCGTCCTTACAACATAATGAAATAAATAAATCCGAGAAGTCTTCCAACGATACTGAAAATGACAGAAATGTAGAAAAACTCGGTCAAACCTTACTAGCAATAGAAGTAAGCCCCCTTTTTTCGAATAATTACAATACCAATCCTCCAGTCAAATTAGTCCAATTAGAAAAAGACGTACCAAACCATAAAAATGCTAAGAAAATCGACGATTATGTAAACACGTCATCAGATATATCCTTGATTAAAGAAAGTCCCGTGGATAAGAGTAAAGTGAATATTAAACAATTGTTACCACAACAAAATAAAACTGATAAATCTTATAACGTTCCTAAAACCAATTCAGTAATAAAGTTAGTGCGATGCCCGGTAGATACATTTAATAATTATGAAAAATTAAAAGAAAGCAAATTAGGGAGTGACGTAAAAAAATTACGACTTGCTGAACAAGCAGCGGAAATCTTAGGAAAGCAAAGGATCACTCAAGTAGTGCCAATACTGATAGACCATCCACTTAAAAAGATAGCTAAAACAAGAGTAACTAATCAGATTTTGCCAAATAACTCCCGGAAGGAGGTACTAAAATTGATTAAAGGTCCAATTAAAAAAGCAGACACGGTTCAAGTACCAAAATCAAACATGCCATTGCAAAACAGTGTGGCTCTATTTTTGGAAAATGTTACAAATGATGAAAAAACCGGAATCTCTGACCAATCGAAAAAAAGTAAAATACTGTATGAAGGTGTGACCAAGATTACATCGAGCACGAATACTCGAGACAAATCAATTTCTGGAGAAAGTAAAAATTGTAAATGGGATCAGAATGAAGTACAGAAACAGGAAAATAATAAGAAATTAAGACATTTATGTACAAAACTGTGTGAATGTACAGAGTACCGTAATAATAATAAATCATGTGCTAATGACAGGTCAAACGACTTAAACAATGTCGCCACATGTCTTCCACATCAAAATCCTATGATAAACCTACAGTGCCAAATCAAGCAAAACTCTCTATACCTCGTTGTCTCTCCATTGGAAAATAACTCTGATCAGGACAAATCGATTTCAACAAATCTGGACAAACACGAATTGGACAGTGGAAAATTTAAAATGGCATCTTTTCCCAACTCCTTATTAGTAACCAGAGTAAGCAGTGAATCTGCACATTCGTCCTATGATCAAAATGACCAAAATGAAATAAAAGAACTAAATTCAAACTCGGAATTAAACGTTATTAATATTAATTCTGATACAAAATCAACTACAACATCAGACAATGTTCTATTTGTCAAGGCAAAAAATAAAGAGATTGTTGGAAGAATTGAGGCTAAAAATGGAAACATACAAATAATACCATGCGATGATAATGAAAAAGAAGAACACAGAGAAAGTAAAAGAAAACTCACTGTAGATCTGACTGATATTTGTGATTCAAGACAAGCGAAGAGAAAAGCAAATACATTGGTATAGTCAAATAATGTCAGTCATTTTATTTCTTCTGACTCTGACCCTTTTTCAAAGAAAATGTACCACAGGAAAAAGCAACAAACTAATGCATTAAACTTGGAGTTTTTGAGAAAAATATCTTAAATCATTTGCTATAATGTTTTTTATGGTTTACAGTATCTGTTTAAAGCAACTAAGTTCATTGTATAAATTTACTCATAATTTTGTTATAAAATAATGTTAGGATTACTAAAAATCGTCTTTAATTTCTCTATTTCTTATATTAATTACACTACATATCAGTTTATACTGAGACCAATGAAATAGTCAATATCCAAAGTAGTCTTTAATCATAGTAAGTGTAATAGTAAACCTGATATTTAACTAATATTCTTTTTTTTATTTTATGTTTGAAGTTTGTTTTAAGGGTTCAACAAAATACGTTATGCATTACGTGACGCACATAATAAATAACCCTATCTATCTATATATCTAAAAGATCCGGCTTATATACAGCAGTAAAAGTAGTATGCTTATTATTTAAATGCTATTTACACGTGAATTAAAAATAGATACCTAAAACCGCCTTAAGGCGCAGCTCTAGTCAAAAATTGTTACATCGTGCTTCCCTAGTTCCCACTCGTTTATGACAGATGCTGTCAACCTAAACAACTGTCAAGGACGTTCAACGTGAACACATTTTAACATTTCATCATAGTCTTATTTTATTAATTAAAAAGACTTGTTTACAGAAAACAACGCAAGGTATTACTTTTATACTAAACTGAAACTATAGTTGGAATATTGTTCGATATTTCACTTCATAGGTTATAATTGTTACAGATGCCGTTGTCGTGTCGGTTTTACCAGGAGAAATATCCTGAGGTTGAAGATGTAGTTATGGTGACTGTGAGGTCTATCGCAGAGATGGGCGCGTACGTCCATTTACTTGAATACAACAATATTGAGGGCATGATACTTTTATCTGAGTTGTCGAGAAGACGTATTCGGTCCATCAACAAACTTATTAGGGTTGGGAAGACTGAACCAGTTGTAGTTATCAGAGTAGATAAAGAAAAAGGTAAATATAAGTGCTATAAATAACATTTGTTTATTAACTAACTTGCCTGCGATTCCTTAAATAAAATAAAACAATTTATCAAGTAACCTATGTGATCTACATTCGTACCAAGTTTCACCATCTATCCTCCACCATGTCTTGTAACATACATCCATCCATCTAATCTTTTGTATTTATAATATTAGTAAGAAAGATATTGATTGGTAGATCACAGTTGATTTAAGAATTGTGTTTAGTGTTTCTAAAACAAAGGATAAACTGCATTTCAGAGTTTTATAAGTCACTAGCAGATATTAAAAGATGCAAAGAAATAAAAAAAAATTACATTTGGTACAAAATTGAATAAACCTTATAAATCTGTGTTTAATTTTTTTTTCTGCTTCTAGGTTACATAGATTTGTCAAAACGTCGTGTTTCCGCTGAAGATATAGAGAAGTGTACAGAGAGGTTTGCAAAAGCAAAAGCAGTGAATTCAATACTGCGGCATGTTGCGGAACTGTTGCATTACGAGAGTTCAGACCAGCTGGAAGAGCTGTATCAAAGAACTGCTTGGCATTTCGAAGAAAAATATAAGAAGAAGGCATCAGCATTTGATTTCTTCAAACAGGCTGCTGTGTAAGTTATTTAATTAGTATTTTATATGCTTACTGTAAACTTGCATACAAACAATATTACTGTCTGTTTAAGTCGATTTGACTGTGGAGGAGAGGCATAGAAAGAAAAAGTATACTCTTCATGTGTGTCTTCTCCATCAATTAAGGGTAGGCAACGCATCTGCGATTGCGGATGTTATTGGGCAGTGGTTACTTTCTATTTCGGTGGATTCAATTGGCCGCTTGCTCGTTTGCCACCTTAAATTATAAAAAAAATAAATGAAAAAAAAACGTATCGTCGAATTGAATACCTCCTTCTTTTGGGAAGTCGGTCAAAAATAGGGAGAAGAAATGTCAATGTTGTCCTAATAAAAATATGTTGATAGTATAAATTCAATGTTTCTGTAGTAAGAACACCTCATGTTAACGATTCTTAGCATGAAGTGTTTGATTGCATGATTTTTTTTAATTTGTCGAATTTTGGCTTGTATTAATATTATGAGAAATATTAGGTTACAAATTAAAAAGTTGTAAATTAATTATTAGCAAGTGTAAAATATATCTGTAGTAGTATTAGACAGAAATTCTATGTGTAATTCTTACATAACTTTTGTCTATAACATTGTGCAGGGACAAAAAAACAACCTGTGTGTACAAAATGCATGCAACATTGTTCAAGCGGATTTAAAAAATCTAATAATATAGATGTTGTTACTCTGTTATGTTACAGTTAATTATTATTATTATTTTGGGTGATACACTAGCTAGTTTGCTGATACCTGTGTGTTGTATAGCTCGGAGGTATTTAGTTTATCTAGCCTTTTTATGTGTAACATTTTAAAGGTAAAAGAATTTTTGAACTTAGTATAGTAAGGACATAATATACCAGTATATATAATTAGTTTTTGAGTATAATGCATATTTTTTAATGATATAGAGATCCATCTGTGCTCAATGAATGTGGACTTGATGAGAATACAAAACAAGTTCTATTGGAAAATATCAAACGCAAGCTTACTTCACAAGCGGTGAAGATCCGAGCTGACATTGAGTGTGCATGCTACGGTTACGAAGGTATTGATGCGGTGAAAGCAGCGCTCAAAGCAGGCCTTTCACTCTCTACACAGGAAATGCCAATAAAGATCAATTTGATAGCTCCACCTTTATATGGTAAGTAACACACTGAATTATATTTTGAAACTAAAAAATAGTGTACTAGCTAAGTATTACATAGCCTATGTTACTCGCCGATAACTTAGCTTTTTAATAGTGGAAGAATTTTTTGGATCGGTCCAGTAGTTTTTGAGTTATTTTATTCATACAAAAATTAAAACAAACAAATCTTTCCTCTTTATAATATTAGTACAGATAACAGCATTAACTGCTGTAAAAGTGAGACAGGTGTCAGGAATTACTTCTGAGTTTTGTTTGATGAATATGCATTTACCTTCTAACTTAAGCTGCTATCTATGGACAATAGTCAATAGCCTTTTGGTCCACTTGTGAAGTATACGAAAAACTATACTTTCTTATTTACTAGTTTGGATATGTGTTTTGATATAATGTAGAATTTCTTCTCTATATGTTGTGTTTCACCTACCTAACCATAGTGATTTTGATACATCCTGTCAGCTGGAAACTATAATATTTATAATTTTGTCAGTGATGACGACATCAACGCCGGAGAAGACTGACGGTCTGAAAGCGCTGCAGGACGCGATAGACAAGATCAAGGAGACGATCACACTGTCCGGTGGCGTGTTTAACGTACAAATGGCGGTAAGTTACCCGCAAGAGATTCGCTATTGACGTTTACCGTCTCTCCTCTCTCTTTCCCCCTTTCTCTTTCTCTCTCTCACACACTCATTTAGTTGAATGAAGTGTAAGAATAGTGAGACCCCATCATTGATTTCGATGATTTGGAAACGTCAAGGTTGAAGATAATTGAAAGTATAAACTATATTAAAATTTTGAATAGCAGATAGCTAACAAAGACCGAAATCCAGTATGTTTGAGAAATGACCAGTAGATGATATCAATTGAGGAACTAAAATAAGACATCACAAATGTTGGTATACTACATGGTAATTAGAGATTTTATACATTTGAATTATAGTTTAATATTAGTAGTAGTTAAAAATCTCTGTCAATTGATTTTATTATTGTTTAAAACAATCATTTCCTTATAACCTATATTTCAGACTAGCTGTTCTCTCGTGGCTTTGTCCGCATGAAATTATAAAAACTTATTTTAATATTTACATTTGTCAAATTCTCAATTGCAAATGACAAAATTACCGTTTACATAATAACCTTGCTTACTTAATGTTGGCAGTTTGTAGTTTATGGTCTCTTTCTCACATGAAGGTTTCTTTCCAATTTATTTAACCCTAATAACTTGAAAATTAATAACGTAAAAATACCTAAATCGTGACGTAAGTGTAGGGCTTTCTATTAATAAGATGATTATTCAAAAATATGCTGTAATTGCTGACATCGTAGGCAACAAAGAAGTGTGTTTACGCTTTATTATAATAGTATAGATAGATAAAACGATATTAAAAGGTTAAAGGTACTTAATAATTGTGTTTTAATTCCAGCCTAAAGTGGTGACAGCGACGGACGAGGCGGAGCTGGCGCGGCAGATGGAGCGCGCGGAGGCGGAGAACGCGGAGGTCGCCGGAGACTCCGCAGACGAGGATGAGGACCAAGGTACTGGGGCTGCGGAGCACTCTGCTTGATACAAATATAAGCTTGTGCATGACATCTACGGCATGAGTGCATTGTCCTGACATGTAGATGTAATTATGGTTACCCTGGTATGTACACGTTATGAGAGATAAATCACATGTTACAAGGAAAACTTTATTTATGTGTGGAGGTAGATGTAGAAAGAGACGGATGTTTTGCGTGAAAGGTGATATGATCAAGAAGGGAGTGATGACTGAGTTGACGGATGGTAGAGTTATTTGGAGGATGAAAACCCTACGGGAATAGGATAAGGTAGGGGTGATGATGTGACATATAGCGCTGACAATGTGTAACTGAATTTCTTGTGTGATGTGAACAAATAATGTGAACCTCTTTTGTGTGAAAGCCATGTTTATGTGTCAAATTGGCTCACCGTGCTATAAGTGTGTGTGCAAAATTGTAATGTTTTTTTTAAAAAAAAAATTGGCGTGTGGCACATGTGAGTTGTGCCTAAATAATAAATATGGTTTATATGATTTTTATGTAGTAACAAGTTGTAATTTCTAATTTCTAGTAGGTATGGGCGACGCCGGAGACGACGAGCCTCAACAGAACGGTGCTTCCGACGAGGAAGAAGAGAACTGAGCATAGATATACAGATATATATCACAGTGTACATCCGCTATACATATTGTATCGCCATCAAACTACTAAATAAAATATACTTCCCTTTTATACAAATATTCCACTTGTTTTATTTCTTCTATTCCTTGCAAGATTATGCCCATAACACCGACCGCGTGGAGTTAAATAAAAAAACAAGTGTCTTTGCCAAATTTCATCATTGCATTTATAATATTTTTAAGATGAGTCAATGATTAGAGTTTTACACGGTCATTTTGTTTTAGTAACATGGAAGTGGTGAAAAAAAATACATGTCAACATCAAATAATTTTTATTAAAATTTCTATTTACAAATTTCGTCTAATTTTATTTACAATCAATTCACTAGTATAGTATAAATAAGATCATTATGTAACATTACATAAATTGTACTAAATCACGCTTTACGTCCATTGATTTTACTTAATTTACTTCTATGGATTTTGTCAAAGAATAACAGCCCAGCAGCTTTTTCTATAGTCTCTGGTGGTACCTGTAAACAATGTTAAAATATAACCTCAAATACAAAGAATATAATTAAAATAAATGTGGCAAGATACATTTTACTATGATAAATCTATATTTGTCAATTGTATCATTAGAAATATCAAAAATTTTTGCATAATTAATACAAATATTGTTCAAAAACATTGCAACTAAAATAGCTAAACTATAAAGCTGTTAGAAGTCTAGTATCAAGATATAAAATTACTTACCATAAAGGCAGAGATGGGTGTTTCATCAGGTATCTTCTGGTTAGGCATCACATAGGCCTCCATGTCAAGGCTGCCATTAGATGCTTCGCCCACCACCACCTTGTAGAAGTGAGTGGGAACCGCGACAGTGTTCGCTCCGATCACTTGATACTTAATATACCATTTACCATCTGTTTCTTTCCTAAAAAAATAAATAAGAAATTACACAATCATAGGACTAAAAAAATTGTCTCTGGTTTGTCACAGATATATGATAGACGACAGATTCAAAAAATGCTCTTATCATATATATTTTTTTAATTCACTGTAATCATACAAATCATAAATGGATGGATGGATGTGTGTTAGAGTTTGTAGCCTAAACGGCTAAACGGATTTCTATGAAATTTGGTACAGATGTAGAGGATAGTCTGGAAGAACACATAGGCTACTCACTTTTGATTTTTTTTAATCCACGCGGACGGAGACGCGGGCGAAAGCTAGTTTAAAAATAAAGCACAGATCAAATAATGTACCTGGGCAGATAGAGAGGTCCTGTACAGCAATAAACATTATCATAGACTTTTGTCAATTTCCTCACATGTTTTTCCAGACGATTCCATGAATGTCTGTTGAATCCTTCACCTACCTAAAAATATTGAATCATTAATAAAACATAACTGGTAATACCTACAAATATGTTTAAAATAACTGACTGAAGTATGTTTTCTTTTAAAAATGGATTGCCCAATTGCAGAATTAAATGATAGCTAAATGTAGAACTAACAGAGCTGCAAAACTACTTGGTTCTTTTAGACAACTTATTTAATTGATACTGTCACTTTAAACTCAGAACAACACTTCTCTTCTCGCCAGACTCTTGATGCGCGCCAATTTATCCATACTTGTAGTGACATTGACAGCTGTCAGCTAGGGACGTGACGTTTATGCCGATAATCTAGAGTTGCGCCAACTCTACAGCACGGTACTAATTTAGTTCCTAACAGTTCATAGATATAGGAACTATGGATTTCATGTGTTAAGATTTGCACAGTGGTATCGCCAGTCTATGATCTAGGCTAGGATAGATAGCTACTATTATATTATCTATTTAAAGCAATCTTCATTATTTTACATTTTTTAATTCTCTAGGATTGGGTAGTTGCCCCCTTATCTACCTCCCAGCAACGCCTGATGTATAGTAAAAAATAATATAAGTCAGTTCACCTGTGGTGCCATGTTGGTGAGATAGAAGGTTTGTTCAACATGTTTTTGTGCTAATCGGTGGTTACCGGCTGCCGCCATGTGCCCACGGTCAAATCCTGAACCTTTGTAGTCACTATTCTGTGACCTAAAAACAACAACCATTGGTTATAATCTTACTAATATTATAAACATGAAAGTTTAGATGGATGGATGGATGTTTGTAAGAGTTTTGGAGCCTAACAGCTAAAAGTACCTCAATGAAATTTGGCTTAGGCAAAGCGGATAGACTGGAAGAACACATAGGCTATGCACATTTTTTTTTTAATTCCACGCTAACGGATTCGCAGATGTAAGGCATTTTCTGTTATAAAGTAGTTAATAAAATAATCTAAATGGTCATGGAATTTGTCATAATAGGTACCACTTCCTACTTAACACTGTTACCTTTTATAATCCATACATCTCTTCCTATTCTTCTTCTCTCCTTATTCTATACCTAAACCATATCAGACCATATTGACCAGGCCAGTGTATTTTTCCTATTGGGCCAATCAAATCAATATAATCAATCTGCCCAAGACACAGCTTTTTATAAAATGCCATATATTTTTGATAATATTACCTGAAGAATGGATGAATGCTCTCATCTGCTGTAAAATCACATTTACTCCTATCAACTTGGTCATTTTTTTCTATGTGTTGTTTAGTCAAATGTTCAAATACCCAATGTGGTACTCTGTTCCGTCTGTCATATGATAAAACAAAATCATCATAAGATCTTATGTTGTCCATGCCGGGGAAACCATATTTCATTATTTGTGAAATCTGAAAAAACACTACTATTAATACTATGAAACTGAATATTTAGGCTTTAAGATCAATTAAATACATTTATTACAAAATGTTACTTTTAAGTTTCAACATCAATGGAAGAGTTTAGATTGTAAATTGTAATCATTTTTCTTTGTACTATACCGTATATTTCAGTACAGTCCAGTCATCTTTGATCTATTACTTCAGTATAACATTCAAATAAAATAATAATTAAGGTAAAGAAAAGTAATTTATTACCCTTGTAGATCCACTCTCTGTATATGGTGTAGCCGCCGATACAGTGCCAAATATAGGAAGTCCAGGCATATGTCGAATAATTTTACCATCAATTACAACAGAGTTATCAGTTATATTGTTTTTATTCTTTATAAGTCCAACGTAATAGCCGGTAAGTCCAACCGCTCCAAGCTCAGCAACTTGAATTAATCTTCTTGGTAACATAGCAATAGCTTATTAAGACCGGCACATGAATAAACTAACAATAGGAATTCTTTAAGGCTATATATTACAGTTTTTAATTCAGAGTTTAATTCACATAAAAAATAAAATATTTTGCACCTTTTCAGGTTATGTCACCATCTGACAATCTGTCAATTTGACGTTTGAAATCAAGTTGAAGTTACAAAGATTAAAGATCCTAACCATCGAAACTAATGTCATTTCAGTGCAGCATCACAATGTTCTTCTCAGTTCTTCTAAATTTTCAGTAAAAGTAAAGAAAGGGAAGTGTGCCCAATTTATTTTACTTCTTACTCCTCACGGAGGTCCGATCTGTCTTGTATCTTTTCCGTAAACGGAGAATTAATTCCCGATTGTTCTCGTCTGTTGTTTATCTAAGCTTTTCGTATCGTAACCTAAAAACTGTCAATGTCAGTTGCTTAAATGACAGTGCAGTGTTTTTAAAAATCATATAAAAACATCAAATAATAAATTAAAGTAAATAATCTCATTCTCATTATTAAACAGTATCCAGCCACATAACATTTTAGTTATTCATAAAATAATCTACAGAATATATGCGTACACCAAACATGACAAAATTATTTATTAAAAATATTCGCGTGTTTTCGGTCCATTTATATAAACATTACACAACTGTAACTAAACCGGCAACGATACTGAAAATAAATAATAAGGAATATGCTACCGACGATTACACTAACGTTACACCAAAGATTTTGTCATATTTAAATCGAGATTTGCACTTGAAAAAGGACAATCCGATATCGATAGTTCGGCAACGGATTGTGAATTATTTTTATTCCTTTACGCATGGAGGTAATCCGATATTCAGCGTTTATGACAACCTATCTCCTGTAGTGACTACGAAGCAGAACTTTGACGATTTATTAATACCGGAGGACCATCCGAGTAGAACCAAATCTGACTGTTACTATATGAATAGGAATACATTGCTGCGTGCACATATGACCGCACATCAAAGTGAACTTCTCCGTTCAGGTCTGGACAACTTCCTTATGATCGGTGATGTATACAGGAGAGATGAAATTGATTCAACACACTTTCCAGTCTTTCATCAAGTAATTTTCTATTTATATTTGCATCACAAACAAATACACAGGTAGAGGTAGACCTAGATAGAAATGGATGGATTGCATGAAAGGTAATATAACCGAGGAGGGAGTAATGACTGAGATGACACAATATAATTATTTGACAAGTGAAAATCTTGTGTGCAGACCCTAAGGGATAATGATTTGTGGGTTATTAACCTTGCCTTACTTAATTTTTGAAGCAACAGATGAGGCAGTTGGAGCATTCTCTTGTTATTTTATTTTATGGGGTTTAACTTATATTTGAACATGAGCAGACAAGCAGATGAAATTCAGAGCTTACCAATGTAAATGTGCATCAGTTTTTATAATCAGTTTTTTTTTTCAGGTTGATGCAGTAAGATCACAAAGAAAGGAACAATTATTTCATGAACATCCTGGATTAGAGCTATTTGAGCCTTATTTTGATCCACAAAGGCCACAAATGTTTAAAAACTCAATAAAAGACCCTAATAAACAAAGTTGTCACAGTTTGGAAGCAACTAAATTAATGGAAGCACAACTTAAGAACCATTTAATTGGTTTAGTTCATTCACTTTTCGGTGATAATGTGAAACACAGATGGGTTGATGCATACTTTCCATTTACTCATCCGTCTTGGGAATTAGAAATATTTTATGAAAACAATTGGTTAGAGGTTCTCGGTTGTGGTATCGTTAGGAACGAGATTTTAGCAAATGCAGGACCTAATAATACAATAGCATATGCATTTGGTCTTGGCTTAGAAAGAATCGCAATGGCATTATACAAGATACCTGATATCCGATTAATGTGGAGTGAAGATTCCGGTTTTGTTTCACAATTTCAGAATAAATTAAATGAGAAGATTACTTATAAAGCGGTATCGTCTTATCCGCAGTGTACAAATGATATTTCATTCTGGTTGCCATCTGATGTAACTATTGACACATTTATGAACAATGATTTTTACGATTTAGTGAGGGATGTTGGAGGAGATGTTATTGAACAGGTAATCTGTTTTAATTTAAATAATCTGGATTTATAATCAATGGAAACAAACATCAATAAAGCAGTCTAAACAATTTAAGCAATATAAAGCTCTAATCACTCTTATTAATAACCAATTTGTATCACAAAACAAACATTCCAAAATTCATTCATTTTGTTTGACGGATGTTTGTTACTAGATATCTCCAGAAACGCTTAATATATCTTTTTGAAATTATGCATAGATGTATAAGACAGTTTTAAATAACTGAATAGACTACTGGTTAAATTTTTATTTAAACAAATATTGAGTAGAAAACCGACATGTTTGGATTTAGAAGTGGCAAGATCTGTGCTTGGTCTGTGTTGAATAGAAATTATTCTATGGGTGTTACTATACAATTAATTTAATTGTTAACATAAATTTCTTGTATTATTTTTTGTTACAGGTGAAGTTAAAAGATAGATTTGTTCATCCAAAGACAAAAAAGCATAGTCTATGTTACAGCATAATTTATAGACATTTGGAAAGAACTCTAACACAAGTTGAAGTAAATGAAATACATAAGGAAATTGAGAAAGCAATTGTTAAAACATTTAATGTTGTTATAAGATAAAGTGTTTGTTGACTAGTTGTTTATCAATTAAATAATTTAAAATGTGTTTTTTTTAAATATTATGATTTACATACTCATACATTAGTATGGTGTTTAAATAAAGGTAGAATTTCACTGCTGATATAGATTATGTGGAACATACTTTTTTATTTACATATTTTTTTATATTTACGTATTAGGATATTGGTATAGGTGAAATTTAAACAGTGTTAATTAATAGCAACCTGCTTTATTTTATAGTATTTTAAATGTCTTAGAAAATAAAAACAGTTGTTCTCTAACATACTCCTTTTACTCATAACTTAATGTAAGAAAAAGGAAACTCAAAGTTGGATGAAAAAAAATTAAGCAAATAGCAGAGGTATTTTTTTACTTAATACTACAATTATTTTCTACATGTATCTAAGATTTAATATCACAGATTTTTTTATATCTTAAAAAATATTTTCTAGGTGACCATGATAGCTTTTTCCAGATACAAAGAAAGATATTACAACATTTTTTTCTAATACTAGGTATCTAGTTTACTTTTTCTGATTATTGCCAACCGTCTCCCTGATCTGTCCCCATGTGAGAAAAAGTTTCACCTGTCCCACCTTTTAGTCCCACTATCACCAATAAGGTAACAGATGGAATTATGAAATAAAATAAGTTCCAACCGTTCCCTCGTCGCAAGAGGTGGGACGGGTGAAACTTTTTATTCTCATCTGTCTCTACGTGGTGACAGAGCGTGGTGACGGTTAAGAATAATCCACTTTTTCAGCTTATTTAGGCACAATCTTCACACGTAACACAAACATAGCTTTTAAGTAGATCAATATAATGAGTTTGCACTGTTGAAACATATACATAAATATAGAAATTCACGGCCATAATACAATAAAAAATATACACATTTTGGAATTCCCGTCATCAGTTAAAAAATGAAATGCAAATGAAGACATCCACTTGTATTCTACTTTCATTGAATATAAAAAAAAAACATTTCGTATTTACATGGTGAGTTTGCACTATCGTTACGACTGTTTTACTAGACTGAAAAATAAATAATGTTAAATATTTTCAAGCGATCGCGTTCGACAAGGAGATTTAGTATCTGTTTACACAAAGAGCAGATCATTATCGCAAATAAAATTGATCCTTACACCATTAGTATGAGGATTAATTTTACTTTCCACGTCCTGTTTATGCTTGTTCTTTACGACGTGCAAAGTAAATAAACTACATTGCGATAAATAAGCTACACCGGTCTTTGTGAACAAACATTTATGAAGCTCGCTACACTCCTGTGCAGTTAAAATTTGGTTATGATATAAATGGTTTGGCTTTGATGATATTGAATTAGTGAATTGGTTATGATGATAAGAATTCAATCTCAAATACCTAAAATAGCGCCTTCATCGGTATCGGTGTTCGTATCGGTATCGGTCTCTCGGTCGTCGGTATCTAGGATATCAGCTTCTTGGTCATCGGCATTTTGTGTATCGACATTTTCGGTACCGGCATTTTGGGTATCCACATCTTCGGTACCGGCATTTTGGGTATCCACATATTCGGTACCGGCATTTTGGGTATCGACATCTTGTACATCAGATGTGGCGGGTACGAACATGACAGGTTCATTTGAGTTATATTCAACTGGTATATTATATTGACCTACAGGTACTACATTCAGGGAAACGTGGTCATCGGTATTTTCTGTCCTCATTCGCCTAGATTTCTTTGCCAATGGTTCGTCATCAGAAGATTCCGATTGGTTTCGAGATTGTCTAGTTGCTTGCATTTCTTTTGAATTTTTGATATTTTTCAATATGTCTAAAATTGTTGGTTTTTTATTCAATTTCCTGTAATGTCTCGCGAGATGTATTTTCATTTGAGTCTCAATCTCTGTGGATGAGACAGTTGTGTCATCTTGAACCGGGAATGTATTGTCTTTCCGCAGTAAGGACTGCGCCGCTTGGTAGATCTTATGCGGGACGGCGGCAGCGGGCACTCGTACCAACTTCGCTCTCTTGAGATTCAATATTTTATTGCCATCGCTTCCTTTTTTCGGACTATCATCCGTTTGAGATTCATTTTGTTTGCTTGTTTCGCCTGAATTATCATTTTCTTCGGTGAGATCGATCACAGGTTCATTCAGAAGAGATTTAGCTTTTGATCTCTTTTTTATAAATACCATTACTTTTTTAACCTTTTTCGGAGGTGGTGCTATTTGAATGTTTCCTCCTACATTGTATGTGTTTGTAAGGTAGTACGGATCGTCTTGTAAGTTGTAGTTGATTACATTACTGGCTGGTGGTTCGGTAGGCATAGTGGCGTCTTCAGTCGATATCCCCGACATTGTCATCAAATCGGACAGTATAGTTTTTCTGCTAGTGTCAGGTGGTTTAACCTTAACTATGTAATCTGTGTATATTAATTTATCTTCATCATCTTTAGTAACATTTTCTGCAGGTGTTCCAACTGTAGGCTGCAAGCTATCAACATAGAGCATGGGCGTTGTTTCTGCAATAGTGATGTTGCTGTCGGTATTACTATTACTAAGATATGTATTTTCTTCGGAGGCATTAAGTTGACCATTTACGACGTTGATGCTCGCTTGTGGAGCAAGTACTACACTATTCATATCATTCACAGTGTTTTCTGTAGTAAATAGTTCATTATTTATAACATTAATCTCGCAGTTTGTTGAATTAACATTTATGATGGAAAGCACAGCATTTTTGTCGACATCATTTTCCGAGTTTACAACGAGGTCATTATTTTCTTCAGTAACGGGTACTGGGTCAAGGGCAATAAGTTCAGCATTTTCTTCGGAAATGTCGAGTTCAGGGTTCATATTATGTTCGGTTTGTCCTTTTTCTACAGGCGATATTGGATCGATGGCAATTAGTTCAGCATTTTGTTGGGGAACGGCGACTTCGGCGTTTTCTGTTGAATAGTTTACTTCAGAGTTCCTACTATTAAGTTCATCACTTTTTGTACTAACCTGTACTCTAGGATCCATGACTACAAGTTCAACGTTATCTTCAGTAACACTTACGTCCGTATTCATGGTATTAAGTTCTGCAGTTTCATGGATATCATTTAATCCAGGGTTTACATCGTTAACTTTTGGATTTTCATTAACTATATTATTTAGAGGATCCACATTTACAATTGTTGGATCGTTATCCACGGTGTTTTTACTGGAGGTTAGGTTCCCACTTGGATATTTACATCTTCTGATTGGTAATTTTCGAGATTTATTTAACACTCCTGGTTGCAAAAGTTTACTTTGTACCGCGGAAAGAATTTCTGGCAATTTGGATAAACTAACTGGATCGATTTGTACTCCGGGTTCTATAGATACACTTAACGTTTTGTCAGGCAAAAGCAAAATATTGACTCCTTTTGGCAAAAGTTGTTTAGGTGCAGATGACGATGTTTGATTTGGAGTAGCACTTTCTTCTTCATCAATCAAAGATATAACTTCGTCTTCTGCTTTCTGATCAATGTTTTTGTTAACAGTAATACCACGTGGTTTAGGCTGCCTGCCGGCTTCAGCCGTGACTGAAAACAACTCGGCCTTATTACCGCGATTTCGTAATGCAGGAATAACTTTGGTTTTTAGTTTCGGCGGAGTTTGAACATGAGCCGTTTCATCATCTGTGAATAAAAAATCTGGTGTATTAGAAGAAGCGTGTACAAATTTTTTTGTGTCATTGTTTACTGATTGCTTAGATTCAGATGAAGGGAGTGCAGTGAATGCTGCAAGAGGAATTGTTGTGGAATCATTGGAGTTCTTCGTTACTTCATCGAGGGCTACCTTTCCTTGAGAGTTTTTAAAAAGATTTTGAATTTGTGGATGATATAACTCTATGGTACTCTTAATTTCCATTTGGCCAGATTCGTTCCGTATTAATCTCGCTTGAATTGCTATATCACGTGTTTCGATTGTTTCCTTGGGCTGCGTAAGGTCTCCTTCGCGACTATAAGTGTGATCGAGCTTTAGTTTGTTTGATACCATCGTCTCCAACAGATCTTGTCGACAACAACAAATACACCCACTTTCCCCCATTGGACATAAATGTCTATATTGCTTAGCTTTTATAGAATTTATGTTTTTATTTTCCGTTCTCAAATAATCTATTTTATTTCGAGCCCAACAACAATAACCACTTTGTGGTGTAATACTATGAGGATTATTCCTTCTTCTTTTTGTATTTTGTGATACCATATTATTCCAGCTTAATTCATCACTGTCAGAAGTCGATTTTAATCTTTTCTCTTGAACGCTCGTTTCATTTGTGGAAGGTGAATGAACAATAGGACCTTTGGTTGTTGACTTTTTTGTTGCTTCCGCAGGTGCAGCGCCTCCTTTTCTAGGTGTTTGAAATACACCGGTATCGAGAAAATATAGTACTTTATTGAGTGTGTCCTTTGTTATTAAACTTTCTTCGTATTCTATGACCGTACCGTAGTTGGTCCAGCTTGGCGCAGGTGCTGGAGGTTTTGGCTTCGTTTTATTTTTTTTATTATTTGTAGGAGGTGGCAAAGTGTTTAATGCAGCTCCGATAATTTCAGCGGGCCGTCTAGTATTTGAGACTGACGTGGGGGCGATAGTCGTGTTTTCTTTTTTAATTAACCCTTCCTTAGCAAGGTCGATTGTTGTCATTAACGGTTCATTTATAACATGACCTCTTTCGATTACGTTATCATCTTCATATATATTCATATGTAGGTCTGGTGACGATTTTGATTCATCGATTTGTGTTTCTTGTGGTAATAAATCTTTTTGTTCGACTCTAGTCATATCCAGTAGGCTTTGCACAGGGACGGCTGAAGGGATCACAGACGCAGTATTTTCACATACTTCTGCGACTTTTTCTTCTTTAATGTAAGGTGTTGTCGTTTTCTCTAGATACAAAACGTTGTTGACGAGTTTCGTTTCAAACGCTTTATGCATATCTACTGTGAGAGGTTTACAAGCATTAAATAGTTTCCTGTTACGTTCACTTAAAAAGAAACCAACACCTAACCTTTTGAGTCGGGTATTAAAATCGGGATTTTTACACAACAGTATAGGGTTATAGTTTCTATGTTTAGGTTTTTGGAGAAGCCAGCTTGTATATTTAACTCTAGGAAATTCACACTTTTCTGAATCGTCTTCGTTTTTAGTTATCTCTTTTTTTTCTGCTTTCACTTTAATTGCATATTTGCTTAAACCCATTTCTATATTAGTTACGTTGTTCATTTGACAATTATCTTGGCTTCTTAATTTTTCAATTCCTCCATTTACTCCAGTCATACGACTATTATCTTCGATTGTCGTTTCCTCTGTATGTTCATAATCTGCTTTCACTTCAATTTTAATTTCTTCAGATAATGTGATAATCTTACTCTCAGATTCTATTAACTCAATTAACTGATTGCCTTTCACTGTTGAGTAATTAAAATTTCTTAACACATTCATATCTTCTAATTTCTTTGTGTAAGTTATGGGAATCATAACGAGTTTTCTATCTATAGCGTATGACGGGTCAACGTCGTCTAGGTTTACGATTTTATTACCTAAAAAAAACACTTATGAATTATTAGGTTTGTAAAGATTTTACTTTATTTGATTTTACATTGAAATAAATAAAAAAAATATCTTACCATCTCCAGTGTCTACTTTCCCTTCTAAACTATCTTCATCGTCATCCACAAACTCGATGCCATCGTCAACAAATTCTAAAGTTGAAGGTAATTCGCTTATATCCATGACATTGTCCGCATTAAAAGGAAGATTTTCCTTTACATTTTCCTCAAAAGTTTTATTAGAATCTCCAAGGTTTATACATGAAACAGTATCAGAGTCTTTTGTTGCATTTTCATAAGACAGAACTTTATCATTTGTTATATGAAACATAGAATTACATTTCTCATATATATCTACATTTCCCATTACATTCGTAATTTTGGGAAGAACTAGATCATTATCTGGATATTTACAATCGTTTTCAACATGCTCTGCTTCAAATTTCTCTTCTGTATTTTCAAAATTATCTATTTCTATGGCTTCATCATCACTTAGTTCATTTAGTTGTAAAACTTCCGTAGGTTCAGTCTTTACTGGATTTTTTACTTCATTATCCTTATTTATGTTATCAGAGATATCACTATCAATGTTTTTTAGGCTATTTTCTCTATTTTTTAATGTATTTCGTTCAAATTTATTATCATCGTTGTCCATTGCTGTAATGCTTTCTTCTGTATTATCTATTACATCTTCATTGATTGGTTCCACTTCATCCTCTTCAGAATCCGCACCAAGCTCTATGGTCTCCACGTGTGGTTCAATAACAACGAGATCAGGATCATCTATGGATAAGGAAAAATTATTAGAAAACTAAGGATCTGTCCCATCACTAGTTGATAGAGCCTCAGATAGCTTAAAAATGACGTCACTGCGAGATAAGGGAACAAAATCTGATATTTCCATCACATATTTTTTGTTGGATGATAATCAGACAATTTACGATTTGGTAGGAAAGGCCCTAATTGCTTAATACCAAGTCAAAATGAAGATTTTATTATGTATGGACTTATGAAAATAAACCTAAAAATCATGGCCTGGTGGCAATACAGTCGTTTTTTTTCATTATTTTACCTAATTTATATTTTAATTAGTTCCATGTTTTTATATTTCTGGTCACTCCATACAGTAAATTATTCAATACATTTAAATTTACATGATTTAGAATGACTAGCTAATATTCTATAGTCTAGATGATTTCTTACCATTGCTAACATTTGATTCCATTCGACGTCGTCTGTTTTCCTGAAAATAAACAATTTAAAATTAAAATCTATATTTTAATCTATATTAAATAAACCAAGAAACGTAAAAATTCATACATAATCATTTTATAGTGTGGTTTGGAAATCCATACTATTATAATAAAGCGTAAACACACATTTCTTTGTTGCCTAAGATGTCAGCAATTACAACATATTTTTGAATAATTCTTTTATTAATAAAAAGCCCTACAGTTAAGTTACGCTTTAGGCTATATAGTTAAACGCCATTAAACTTAGGGGGTAAATATTTTGTATTAAAATCCTAATGTGGGAAAGAGACCATAAGCTGCTGCCAACATCAAGGAAGCAATTGTCATTTATGCATTTGAATTTAGACATATCATGCGGAGAAGTCGCACTGGAACAGCTAGTAATAGGATAAAGTGAAAGGTTGTTAAATATGGGTGTCTTATATTTAATGGTTAAGGCATTTACCAATATTTTAAGTTTTGTAAATAAATCTATACTTATATAGCTGACTGTATTGTGTATATATATAAATCTTGTTAACACACTAATATCCATACATATATAAAGAGGAAAATTTGTATTTTTGCGTGTACTCAAAAACTATTGGGCTGTTTTCCAAAATTCTTTTACTAATAAATAGACACGTTATCGCTGAGTAAGATATGGTTTATTTATTAGAAAAAAATTCCGCGCGAACAAAGACGCGTGCAACAGTTAGTGTGAAGAAACTTACAAATTGAACAGCCATAATAATTTTGCCCGATTCTAGTAAATCCTTCCATTGTAAAAATCTTTCAGTGATTAAATAGGGGAGCCTGAAAAAAAAATCAATTTAAATTGGCACATATTGTAATAGTTATGTCAATTTTAATAGAATAGGTGTAAAAATTTTCAAATATCTTGACAGCTCAGTCTTATTTGCCAACCTTAATGGTCAAATCAAAGCATATTATGAATAATTTTTCCAACAACATTTTTAGAACAAGCCAATTGGAGTAAAGAAGTAAGATTGCCATGGTAAAGGTAATTGTTTACTATGTGCAAGGGCATTCGTTGTCTTGAAGTTTTTTAGTTTTTTATAGCAAGTTTTATTGAATGTAAAGAATAAAAAATGTTTTTATAATATGCGGATAAAACCGCACGCTATAGCTTGTCTAAATAAAATAGATTAGTTTGATAAATAAAGTATCGAATTCAATTTCTATGAAAGCAAATGCCATATTTAATAGACAGGTATCGTAGTGACGAAACAAACACGCAGCGAATAATTTTGAACTATCGATATTCGGTTTAAATAATTATCGAACTCGATTAAATTAATATTTTTTTATTAACTAAGTTATAGGATAATTTTAGTATCGATTATAGTGTAGAGAATTTAGCGATGACAGAAATAATAGCGAAATCCAATACGGCTGTAGTAGTAATAAACATTTATTTACTCTTATTATTTGTTATGGTCATTATTAATTTTAGGAAACAGTGTTTTTTTTTTATTCATAAGTTATAACTATAAATCTATCGATTCCAACTTCTATAAGAATAAAAATCAAAAATCGATAAGATTCATGACTGATTTTACACAACCCATCCCTACTAAATTTGAAATGAATCGTCAAACTAATCTAAATTATTTAGACACACTATAACAGTTAGTAATTGAATTTAGAAATAAATGAATAATAATTATTATTTAACACATACGCCTCAGAGATTCGAATCTGAAGTTTTGTTGGTCTGACGGCTTTCGGTAGATTTCTTGGGTTACCGCGATATTGCTTCCAGAATTCGTATACCCTTCGTCTTGAGTAGTCTTTTAATTGATGCCATCGACGTTGCAACAACATGGCCGAGCATTCCCGCCCTCTGGAAATATAACAACAAATTAGGTTGTCCCATCACTGGCTGATAGAGGCTCAGATAGCTTAAAAATGACGTCACTGTCAGATAAGGTAACATCATCCGATATTTCCATCATATATGGGACAGGCCCTTAGACATTTAATTTTAAGGGATAGTAACTGCCACACTCGCAATTTAAATAGTGCTTAAAGGAATTTTTGAGTCATCCAGAGTGTGGCAGTTGGACACACATTATAAATCGTACTAATACACGTAAAAGTTTAGATAGATGTTTGTTTGTTCAACAATATAGGAGATACCTAGACTGTTGAACTGATTTTGATGAAAATTGGCATATTTGTAGATCATAGTCTCTAAGAACACATACAATTTATTTTGTAGATGACGTCACATTTATTCTTCCAACTATCACGTACTTGTTACATACCCTCTGTTACACAAGATTGCCACTTACCCTGAATTGTATGCACGTGTCAAAGCGGCCCACTTCCCAATTAATCTGTCTCCTGAACAATCTTCTATACAGTACATAATAACCAGATCAAACAACAGCTGTAGGACCTGGGATTCTGGTTTACCGCTTTGTATCAGCCCCTGTAAATACACATTGATATTGTGTGACTACTAAAAAAAATTTTTTTAAAAACATTTTTTTAAAAGAAATGTTTAATACAGTCTTCGAGGCCATCGAATAATTTTGACTGTGTATTAAGTTAATTCCATGGTTCACCTATTTCATAAGTTTTCCGTAGTGTTTTATTATTATTGAAGTGTCCAAAATATTTTCCTGTACCATTTATGGCACGCATGTCAGTGGTTCGTCACCCCTGTCCTAGATTCCCAGGGTAGGTATACGAATTGAACGATACAATTCGAAACTATAAAAGTCACTGATCTGTATAATTGGATAGGCGATAGTTTGAAAATGTATTTACTTCGTATCAACTTGAAACTCGCCTTATGACGTTTATGAGTTAAGTCTATCACTATTATTACTTCGCATATTTACCACGACCAATCGTAACCATCAGCGCCAAAATGGCAAACACCAAATAGACATAAAACAGCGCAGCCCGTCTATTTATAAAAGCCAATGATTTGAGTACAATTGATTATTTGCACCAAAAGTAGATTTCTTAAAATTACAATAAGGAAAGACAATTTAATGACTTTCAGTGGTAGTAAATGTCTTGTATTTATGCAAAGAAGCAGCATAAAAAGTCTGCCATTGCGTCCATTTTATAGCTAAAGCGCATCAATTTTCATACCTCTCCAATAACATCGACATCTTGGTGTACAAGGACCAGGTCGAAGGTGAGCCAGTCGGTTGACGTCATCCGAGCCACCTGCGTGATACGCTCTACACGATCATCGGCAGCGAGCAATCTCTTCAGTTTCTTTGAAGTTAACACTTTCATATGTTGCCTGGAATACATTAAAAAAATCATCACAAATTAAATTTGACCTAATATTTCTTTCGATTTCTTACAAAATTAAGTAAGATAAGAAGAGTAAGAGACACAACAATTACATAAGTATTGTTTATATTGTGATAAATTGGCTGGTAGTTTTTATCCCTTTCTCGTTCGACACTTTTTTCCAATTTATTTACCCCCTAAGTTTACCAGCGTGAAAATATACAGCCTAAAACATGTCGCCAGAGTAGGGTGTTTCATTAAAATAAAAATGATTTGAAAATATGCTGTGGTTGCTGACATTATACGTAACAAAGAAGTGTGTTTACGTTTTATTATATTAAGAGGAAAAGAATAGGAGAATAGACATAAAGTTAATAGTTGTGAGAAAGTGTCTATGATCACAAATATTTTCAAGTTTTAAAGTAAAGTGCAGATTGTCTATGGTTAAGAGTTTGGACTGGATCCTTTAAATGTCGTATTGCATTGCAGTGGTTCACTTGTTTCACCGTACAATACAAACACTATAAACTTTAGGATACTCACCATAACAAAAAACAATCACAGCCATACTCAGTCTTCAGCTGTTCCCACATCTCATTTTCTGGCTGACTTTCCACATACTGACGACGTGCGATATCCCGCACCAGTCGCCTCTTGAACTTCTCCAAAGCCGACATTTTGGTTACTATTTATCCTATAAACGTAAAATTAAGAAACCTCAAAATGGCCTAATTTTGCAAAGCTCAAAGAAAGTCTAATATTTGCGCACCAGCGCCGTTGACTAAATCAAAAGGACCCTAGATTTAAAGTTTTTTTTTAAATGAAAAAGAGGTAAGTGAGCGAGCGCCCACCTAAATTATCCACGAAAAATCTAACTGACCGCTGTCCATATACATCCGCAATTGCTGATGCGTTGCCTATCTTTAACTAACGGAGAAGACACACATAATAATGATGTATCCACCCTATGCGTCTCCTCAGACGTCAAATCCACTATATTCTTATAAGAAAAGAATGGGAAGGAAAAGATACCAAATCTGGACCTTCGGGACGCACACTCATCATATAAAACGCGAATTACGTCTACTTCTCGCCTGTCTTCTGTGTGGTCGTGGTATTTCACCGGGCGAGCCGACCCATTCGTGCGAAGATGTTAAAGCGGGCTCTACCACTGTAAAACTTTGTAGTTAGTCTCGAGGATCTCGATGTAGATGCACTAACAAGAAACTAATATATGTCAGCATCCCCAACATTGTACATTTTTATATGATAACATTTATTAGTTTAATACACTTTTATTTACTAGCAACACTGTAACCTACGATTGCTTCCTGTGTTCACACATTATACAACTACCCTGGGTTTTTATTGCCTTAAATGCAGCTACGTAAAATAAGTAACGATATAACAAAACTATAAAGTCAGGTATTTCTAAATCAATATCAATTAAAAAAAATAACTTGATTTTGCTTCAAGGGACTAGATGGCGCTAACGAGCGGAAACATTATGTCAACTTTTTGGTGTTATCTATGGTTTTTTCACATTGGTTAGTGTTTAAAAAAATAGTTTTTATTATTTTCGGTAATTTATTTACTAATTGTGATTTTTAATTCTCTGCGAGACAAAAACACAAATTCCTCTTGTTATTTCGTAATATTGCCAAACATATATGGCACACTCGCGGTAGTCAAACACATTTTGTCATTGATAAATATCAAGCCCGCATTTTAATTACAAAAGAAATCGTATTCCTACAAAAATAAATAATTATAGTGTTAAACACAAACAAACCGACAAAATATTAACAGATGAACTTTAATGAAACGTCACGTAAACTACGTGGTTGAAAATACAATAATCATAACAAACGCTAACATACCATCTCATACATTTAGTATAATATATAAACATTTTTATCGTAATACAATTTCATGGAAATTATTTACTTTTAAGCGCACATTTAAAATTATTGTTCTTCCGTACTACACTATTGACGTTTACTCGACGACTGGCGGACACAAAATGGCGTAATTGCCACGCTTACGTGGGTAGAGCGAGAGGGGCGGTCACTTGTCCTTGTCATCCATATACATACGTAAAAATAAACTTAAGAGTAGGGTGCGGAATTTGATGTTATATTGATTAGGAATTTGTATCATTTTAATTATATTTTATATATTTTCCCGACCTACAATATGTATTCAAGTACATAAATATGAACCTTGACCTGCGATTATCAGACGTATTTAGTACAGGTATTTTTAACTGTATTTAATAGATATAAACATTTTTTTTATTAAATAACATTTATTACGTTACAAAAAAGTGGTAGTCCACAAATTCACTAGAAGCGAAACGATCTCGTTACCCGAGTCTATTCGACTGATAGCCGAACTCGCGCGCCTTGTGAAGCCGCCAAAGCCGCGTGACGTCAGCCGACAACCGTTACACTAGTCCTGCGCGGCGGTTATGTTCGCGCTTTTTTTGGAATTATATGAATGAATAATTTTTACTACACTTTCGCATATATATGCGTACGTATTATTTTATACCATTATTTTTACGTTTTACTGCATTACAAAAAATAAATATGTTAAATATAAGTTAATTGACAAACAATACAATAATTACTTATGTAAGAGCGTTTAAACATTTTTATATTTATTTGCTACTTTTAATTTCTCTGGTGTATACCTACAAGATATATAAACTTTTTTATTTGTGACGTAACGGTTGTAACGAAGTCAATTGAAGACTTCTATGCGATATTTTTGATCAAAAATTAGAACTTTTTGATATCATAAAGTTATCTCACAATCTGTTAGTATTTGTTTAAATAATTAGTATTTTCTCGATTACGACAATTAAATCACTATGAAAACGTAAATTTACTTGTTTGTTATAATTAACGAATTATTTAATATTTTTAAATGGACATTTTCACCAACATATGGCAACACTGAAGAATCCATCTTTGATTTTTTACATAAATCGGTTTCATATTTTTAATAAATCGAAAAGTTATATGCAAGCATTCATTTGAAGAATAAAAAATGGAAGAGAAAAAAAATCAATAACAAAAAGTTCTAAAATGGCCATCGGATCGGATTTCAATACGTCCGCTTAGCATCGAATCCGTGAGAAGAATGGCGTCCGGACACGATACATCGACGTGTAGTAGATAGGTTATGAATTTGACTACATTAGTTATCAAAATATATTTTACCTTAAAATAATTGTAGAGAAGTCACATATTGATATTCCTACGTGTGTTATAACCTGTTTGGTTATACAGATGTTTTTTTTTCTTGCAAACACACAATACACGTATTCACCACGAAGTCTGAGTACGAATTGGATGATAACAAGCGTTATAATGCGAGTGAAAGGGATAGTCGATCGTTGCGCCGTTTACGGTTGAGGCCGCGCGGGGTGGGAGTACGGCCATTTTGTGACAGATTTTTCATTTCTGCTTCGTGTTTCGTTCGTTGCGGATGAGTTTTATGCTCTGACGTAATTTTTTTACCTATAGTCGTACGTGTATTTAGGAATCGGTTATATCAGTTTTATTGCTATTAAATCTTTTAACATTTTTGGAATGTTAAAAAACATTGTTAAGTAGGTAGGTATGTAATATCTGATGTTTTTATTAAGTGTTTTTTTAATAGCTTTTGCCCGCGCGAAAATTAAAAACAAAACTTATAAATCCTTCCACACTGTGTGTTACTTCTGTGCCAAATTATATTGAGATTTTTTTAGTTCTAAAGATACCTTCTAACAAACATCCATCTATCATTTATCCATCCATCTACACATTCTAATTTATAACATAGTAAGAAAGTAAGATAAGTTCTTACTTATTATCTTAGGATTCATTCTCTATTCTTTTTACTTTCGCAAATTAAAAAGAATAAACTTCGTTCCTTCAAACTAGTTGCTAAAATAAATTAAGTCTTATGTTACTTGTTCTTAGGAATGAATTTTGAAAAGCAGATCTGATATATTATTTATAGATAATAGCGACGTACGGATGGGCTTATGTAAGACAGGCCCCATTTTTCTCGTATTCGACATTTTTTTGAAACTTGGAAAACACTGGTAATATAGGACGTTCGTGTATTACAATTAAATATTGCATTCTTCAATTAGCGATAATCAAAATGAATAAACTAATAATCATTGTCAAGGGTAAAACAGACACACTAATGACATGGGTCCATGCTTCCTGGAAGTGACATTTAATGGCATATGCATTGCTCTGCATGAGCGTTGTTCAATAAATTTCATAGAATCAGTTCTGATAAAATAACGGAATGCGTACATCGTCACATTACCATCTGAATGTAAAGCTGGTGACACACCAAGGTAAAAATATTTTCATCTTGTTCGCTTAAGGTTGTTAATATTTTCTCATTATTTTTGAATTAAATTATTAGAAACTATATGAAATAAAATTAAAAATGATTTAAGGTCATTGCAGCTCTATTTAGAGTCAAGTAAACATTTCGGGTAGCATTAGGTTGTTTAACAATTTCTAGTTAAGACTTTTTAGTCCTTAAAAGGTTTACGTACTGGGTTGTTACTGAAATAGTATCTGTTTATGTTAATAGATGGCTCTTGGTTACTATTTATTGACGCAGATTATAATTATTATTAATGTTATCATTGTGGATCTCTCTTCTATCTTAACATGTAATAAAATTGGAGTGTCTGTTTGTAATATTAAAAGAAACGTTTCGAATTCAGATTTTGGGAAGATGATGTATTTGCGTTGCTAATAACGAAAATCGCATTTGAAAATCGTTTCTGTCTGTCCACACGCCGCGTTTGCTCCGGGTAATCTCCGAAACGGCTAGACCGCTTTCGAGCGTACTTTCACTGAAGGGTAGCTGACATAGATGGGTATATTATAGGCTACTTTTTTAATTCTGCGCTTTCAAAATGACGTAACGGGTGGTCCAAATTTGCGCTAACGAAGATTGCGGGCGACAGCTCGTAAATATTTATCCTCTTGTTACTCACGCATATCAGTATACCGCAATATAATTATTACAAGAGTTTTACATTCGGCCATTACGAGGCTGTCATGCATCGAATTAATTGATATATATTGTTCTGGGCTGGACCAGATAAATCTCGGGCCTGTTGATTAGCCAGTCGGTCTCAGACAGTGTTGCCAGTGCGTTCGTATTGTGTTGGACGTTTTAAAAAAATATGTGCGTTCATTTAAATATTATTTCGCGAATATGACGTCACATTGGTAAGTTTTAGACACTTGTTAAGTTTAAGTTAGTAGAATAATTACGGTAATTTTTTTAATATTTATTAAGCCTACTTTAGACTAAATTTGCAATTTTGCATTTTTTACTTAAAAGAATAGGATCTATAATAAAACAGTTAAGTTGATTTTATTTAAAAAAACACTAGTTTATGATTGCTTTGAATATTTATATTTTAACTAACCTTCGCCCGCAACACAGTCCGCGTGGAATTAAAAAAAAAAAACAAAAGTCTACATCTATACCAAATTTCATCGAAATCCGTTTTGGTTAAAAACTCTAACAAACATCCATTAATAATTCACAATGTCCAGTATTTTTCTAAAGCTGGGAAGGCTTCATAGAGTTTCGTCCAAAAATTCTCTCCTTTTCATTAATTCCTGAATACTGTGGTGATTGCTTAAAAGCACCGATAATACTACTATATCGTAACGATAAATAAACTTTTTAATAAAAAAACAAAACCGACTTCCAAACAAAATACACTAAAAACAAAACAAAATGCACTAAAAACAAAACAAAAT